CCCCCCCCCCCCCCCCCCCAAACTATGAGGCGGCCGCCTCTCAATTACCCATAATGCCACGCCACAGCTACTGTTTACTGACTCACTGTATCTACACTTGATATCAAGAATTCAAGACAAGTGTAGATATAGTGAATCAGTAAACAGTAGCAGACATCATTCATATTAATGATATCCTGGGCCGGCTGACTCGGCACTAGATTTTGTAAGTCCCCGGGCAAAAACTGCAATAACATTCCAATTTGTAATCTGTACTGGATTACAAATATAGTTATATTAACTAGTCATAGCCCTGAATATATTAAGTTCCTTTTATGGTCTTAGTTAATAGGTCTATGAACTATAATTACATTCGTTATAATTATTGTTATGTAATCACTACTAGTCAATGATAATGATTTTTTTTTGGTAGAAAATAATATTATATCATCTAATTACTATTTCGGTTGTCGGTTTATAACAGGGGCGGGTCCACGGTCAGAGAATTGTGGGTCAAGTTATTTCAAGAGGCCAGTTATTAAGGCTGAAACTTTATAACAAATTTACATCTTATAACACAAAAATACAATATAATCATATTTGTTTTTAAGTTTATTCATTATTATCATTGAAAACATTAACATTAATTTTTTATAGAGGATTCTGTCTTACATGAAGTCATTAATTAGAGAGTGGCAACTGGGAAATTTGCCCCAATCTAGTATTAACTTCAACCAGGAGTGGCGACAAAGGGGGGAAAGGGGGAGGGTTCTAGCCCCTTACTCCCAGAAAACAGTTCAACCCTCACGCCAGCCCCCCTGAAAAATACGTATGATATAATGAAGTCATAAAACATAATTTTAAAAAAGCTACATCAAAGAATTGGTGAAATATACTTTTTAAAAATTTATAATTTAAGTAAATACTTTCGTATTTTCGTGTTGTTCTATTTTGATAGACTCTGAATTGTATATATTTATTTTACTTATTTATTTATTATTTATTACCATTTGTTCATTTTCATCTAATTGCAGTTGTATGTCACGAAAATAATAATAGCTATATTATGTTACATGATACGAAAATATTTATATTTTATTTAAATAACCTCAGTATTTGTTGAAAAAGCCTTAACTTATGTAAAAAAAATATTTGCCCCCCTCTACCTCCTTGGAAAAAAAATGCTAGTGTCGTGCCTGACTTCAACCTATAGTCGACACACTTAAAAAATATAAGAAGTCTTCAAGAGGCTAATTTTGTCTAAAAATATTCACTGTGGGTCAGCTAACTTCCAGAACCCTCCCCCTAGATGCGCTCCTGGTTGAAAATGTTTGTATTATATTCATAGTACACGCTCTATGCCTCTATATGATGTATTGTTTAAAGATATTGTCACGCTTTTTTTAACACAGTTCAGCATAACGCTTTGAAATTTGATTCAAGGCAAGGGCAATGCAACCGGTGCACTTGCACAAGGCATCGCGGAAGCGAAGTTCACTACAGAAAAACAAAGCATCACTGACCAAATACTATAATTTAAACAAGATAACATTATTACCTAATAAGAATATTATGTTTTCCAAATATCTAAATATCCTAGAGAACAGTACTAATGTACTGTATTTATATTTATACTGGTTATTGACATGGTAAATATTATATTTATAATATTATTGTTAATATTAGTTGTTCCATATTATTTTATTTATACTATTTTGCACAGAGCACCGCAATTTATTGTGCCGACCTTGCAAAGGATTCAGTTATATAATTTTATATTATATATTTTCAGAGCCATCCTAACTACCAATAACCATCCTACGACAACAACATTTGACGCTCCTTCCCTCAACCAATTTTTGTAAAATTTACTTCAAATTTATAGTGTATAATTTACCTCATTCCAAAAGTATTTTTAATAATTATTAACCAAGATACTTGCTTGTTTATTATTATTATTATTATTGTAATCTTGTTTATGTAAATTATTTATTTTGTTTTGATGATATTTCATAGTTGACACAGATTTCATCACTTTGGCTAAATAACAAAAAAAATATAAGTATAACAATTATGATTCACAAGACAATACATAAAAATTATAAACATTTTTTGTACCTATTCATTAAATACATATAATAATAAGTTATAATGGCCTCCATTAGGGGTTTTCAGTAAAAAAGCAAAATTAATACCTAAAATAAAGAACCCAAATTTTCATATTATCATTAATTTTTACGTTGTTCCCTTAACTCATAATACTTCGGACTTTTTACGGCACTTACCCAATTTTCCTCCCACTCATTTGGGATGGCTATGTATATTATTCATGTAGCCAGATAGGAACATTGGTTTGGTATTCAACAGCTATGATAATAAGTCAACTTTCAAGGTACTTTAATGATGTGAAAACATTTTGTATGGCGTTCAGATTTTTTCATTTGGGCAGTGAACATTTTCGACCGTTACAATACCTATAATATTATTAAAAGGAGAGGCAATTTTTCTGACAGTTATATCTGAAGTTCTACTGGACCGTTTGCGTAGTGTTTTTTTTCTCTCTCTCAAACGCGAATGCTTTGTGTAGATCTAATGATATAGGTTCAAAAATTGAATTAAACAGTTATTAGAAATATTAAATTTTCCGTGTATAGATACGACTGCGGCACGGTGGCACGAAACAGCGACATGGAGGGAGAAGTTTGGGCGGCCACATTTACCGTTCTGGCCTATGCTGTACTCCGAACCTCACCCAACGTTAGATAACCGCCCTTCACATGACACGGCTAGACAAAGACAGAATGGTGGCACAGAATGCGTTTTCTCTTTAAGACGATGCCGATGAAGATAATATTTCATTTTTTTTATATACTTTGTCACTTATATATATGTGGCGTGTAAATATGTAGGTACGTAACGTACCTGCCAATTATGTAAATATTTTATTCTATTAGGGTTATTTGATACATTTTTATTTTTTGATTTACCTAGGACATAGTTTCCATTCCTATTTATGATTTCAAACTTTATACTCATCAACTAATAGGTACTTTAATTGTATTCAAAATATATGATTGAAAATCTCTCTGTGTTCTGTAAAATAAATGTTGAACAAATATAATTGATTAAAAAATTCCAATCATATTTTAGAAATAATATGAAAGCACCTTGTTTTAAATTAAGAATATTTACTTCAAATTCTACATAATAAATCTATATTTCTAAGCTCATATATATGTTTTTACATCTTACGAGTTTCATCCTTGACACTTTCAGGTTTTTTGTTTAAAACCAATAATTTCGTATTGCAGTCATAATAAGGGCCAATGAGAGAAATATGGAAAAATATATTGGACGTACCTCAAGAAATAATTTCACTGAATTCCGTAGGTAGTACCATCTAACATATGAGGGTTTGAACTCATTATTTGTTTGTATAAACCAGGGGTGGCCAACCCAAATGATTTTGCTGGCCACTTTGGAAATACATTACGATCCTGCGGGCCACATATAAAATTATATTAGTATTTTGCCCGATACAAAAAAATTTGGAGTAAAGTTTTTAAAAAGGATTAATTATTATTATAAAATAATTTTTGGTGTATTGATTAATGTAATTAATTTAATAATTAACTGAATGTAATTCAAAACGGAACGGAATTCACTGTTTTTATTATTACTTGCATAACATGGTTCACCGATAATACTTGAGAACAAAGATTTTGTTGATGAATCAAACAGTTTGTTGCGATTACGTTGTTAATAATACGGATTCCGCGTAGCGCGGGAATTCCTGAATATTTTATTGGGACAAAATACATTATTTTTTTTTGTAAATGTTTGATAAATCTCGCGGGCCGGCAATTCCTGGTATAAACTATTAACAGTGCCGTATTTAGACATTTTGCATCCCGGCGCAAAATAAAAAAAATAGCGCACCTCTAAAGGGTCTACCCACGGAAAATATAGGAGATAGATCCTCATGAACCTTTTAAATATTCTAAAATCAATGTTATTTTTGTGTAGTAGGCACGCCATAGCATAATACGCCGTATTATTATAAATAACTTTTGTTTATTGACATTATCACAATAACTTTTGGAACTAATATTAGTTATATTAATAATATTCTGGATCGCTAATATTTATATAACCATATTGCTATAAATACATTAACATTATTTTATGATACTGTTATTAAAAACAAAAAAATAATAATTTTAAAAGTTCAATAATTCACAAGTGAGCAAATTTTTAACCACAAAATTTGGCACCCGGAGCCAGTGCCCTCCCCCCTAAATGCGGCCCTGACTATTAGTAATTGACTCGTACAGTTAAATTTCTGAACTATGAAAACAAACAATTCATTTAAGAGAACTAAATATCTTAATACAGTTTTTTTGGAAGATTAAAGATCTGATATGGCAATATCTGTAACTTAACTCAGTAAGGAAAGGTATTTTTGAAGGAAAGTCATATGCGTTAAAAAAAAAAAAAATTTATAAAATGAATATTTACACATAAGTTATCTTTTATTCAATGAATACAATTTACACATTTTTTACTTCTCCTTAAATCCTTGTGTTTAGCCAATATTTCTACAAACCTCGAGAAAAATTGTGATTTCTAATTCATGAAAATGAGTTTCTCATTGTTCCTAAATTGAACTGATTAATTTCACTTATCTACAAATCTTGTTACTTCTAAAATTTTTTCATTTGTCATTGTTTAATTAATTGTTAAACATTTAATATATTGTTATATAATTTGTACAAGAGTATTATGCTTCTTAAGTTACTAATAAATCCATATATGCCATAGATTATATCATACTTTTCATATTTGTATTATTAAATACATGCATTTTATTTACAGTAACTTTTTATTGAAAAAGTATTTATGTTTTAATAAATACTAAAATATGGCTAATAGATTTATTAATTTAATTTAATTGTATCACTGATTATAATAATGAATAATTATAACTCATTCATCATTTATAGAAGGAATTAATAATAGAACCATTATTATAATTAAATTACACTTATTTATGATAATTATGAATAATAATAGTAATAATAATAATAATACAATGTCATTCAATATTTATTTATTTGTCTATTAAAATAAATATTATATATCTAACAATAATATTTAAATTTATAAAAAAAAAAAAAAAAAAAAAATGTAAAGAGCAAAATAAATATATAATTAAACAGTTTAATTATTAGACAACCATTGGAGACTTTCTTCGTTTTCTTACATTTCCAAGTATATTTCTTGAATTTTTAAGGGTTGTTTTCAAGTCAATATGATTTGTTTTACCCAAAACATTCAAATAAATTCCTATAACTATAAGTAATCCAGCCCAAACGTACCTATAAAATGTAAAACAATTAGTAATAAATTATAAAAGATAATAGACAAGTATTAGTTAATATTTTGATTTTAAAAATTATTATTAAGCATTTTCTTACTGAAATGTAAATGGCTTTGAAAATAATAAAAACGATATAACTATAGTTAAGGCTTTTCGACACGTAGTTACAGTCACAGCAACTAAAGCACCACAAGTTCTGATCAGGGAAAGTACAGCTTGAACTCCAAAAAATCCAGACAGGGAAAACAAAAATATGTATGCATACGTCACTGGATTCTACTAAGAAGTAAATTTTTTTTTTTTTTTTTTAATAATATTATTTATTTTATACTTTTATTATATATAACCTGGAGGCAAAATGTTGTTCCATCTATAAGTTCTCCACTCACCAACAATACCAATAGTAAATATATAAATCCTACAAAGTAGGAGTACAAAACAATTTCTGCATTAGATGCATTATGTTTTTTCATCATTTTTTCTTGAAAATTACCAATAAGTGCATCACAAAACAATGCAGAACTAATCAAAATTATACCTAAAATATAATTTAGACAATGTGTAAAAAAAAAAAAATTATTTTTGTAACATAATGATAAGTAATTTTATTGTTTATTATGGCTATGGATAAAATTTTTCTAAGTGAGTTAGATATAAAGGAATGTGATCTCCACTTCTTACTATAAGTCATAATTAAAAAACTATGACTGATTTGTATATTGAAAAGTATTAATATTAATACAATTTACCAATTATGTTAAAATGTGGAGAAACTTTACTGTCAGCTAACGTAAATAATACCAATCCAGCACACATACATGACGCTGCTATTACATCAATTATTTTGTACACTTTTTGTTGAATCAATATTCCACCAATCATGACAGGAATAAGTTTACAGCATTTAAATATAACTTGTGTAGGATAGTTCAAATAACCAAGAGAAGCATTAGAAAAGCCCATCGAGCCTAATAATATCAATCCCAATAAAAGATATAATACTATAGGTATCCTGAAAAAATATATTATATATATATATATATAATAAAATAAAAACATCAATATTTTTTAAACTTAGATATACTTTATAATAGAGTAATACAACTACATCATAATTATTTATATATACAGCAAGGGTGTAATTGAGTTGAGGCAATGGGAGGGGGGAAAAACTAATTTTTCTTTAATACAAACTTAAAAATAATTTACAGTTCATACAGCTAATGTTCCTATTATAATGATAGACTAGTAATTTATATTCTTAATTATTTATAAATCACATTTTTTAAATAAATCAATGTACTATTATATTCAAAAAAAAAATATGAGCCATGGGAGGCAATTCCCCCTTCCTATCACCCTCAAATACGCCCTTGATATACAGTGGTAAAGCATGAATATACAAAACAAATATCCAAGTGAAAAAAAAAAATATCTTTTCGATTTCATAAATTTAATTTAAAGTAAGTAATTTACACAAATTGATGAAAAATAAATTATTTTGTCATAAGAAATTTTACAATATTTAACAACTTTAATCTTATATTACTTTATAAGTTTTATTTTTAGTTTTTTGAAAATACATCTATGATTTGGCCAACATTTCTCTTTTTAATAGCCAAAGTATACAAATATATATAGTTATTCATAGTATTTCTTAAGTTTTTTAATTAATTTTAACACATTCATATTTCTCTCAATTGAAACAGATATAATAGGAATAGGTAATAAGTCAATGAAACTATAAATTGTGCGTATTAAAATTAAATAGTATTATCACCTATTTTCAGTCTTGTAAAAGATACTCTTAGAAAATATTAAAATAAAGACACAGATACCTGTTTTTAAAAGTATTTAAAATAAGTATTCACATAGATAATTTTAAATACTTGAAGAATTGTAATAACATAGTTTATCATACATATTATAATCATACATAAAATGTAAAAGAATTTTAAAAATATATTCATATCTTGCATATTTTGCAATAAATAAAATTGTTCGGTGATTCCATAAGCCATAAATCAGAATTAAAATCTAATTGAAAAATAGAAATAAAACAAATTTCCAATTTTTTTATGAAATTGTTAGTTGATATGAGTAATAATGTAAAAATAGGTAATTTAATTTAACGAATTCCACTCTATTACAAATTTTTTCTATACCCTTGAGACTTTGTCATGGAAGTTTCACTATAAATGGTAAATTAATTTATTATTTTAATATGAAAGAATTTGATTGGAAATATAGATACTTCGGGAAAGCATTTAAAAAATATATTTAAATACTTTTATTGAAATACTTTTACTTAATTTCTCTACAAGACTGCCTATTTTACAATCTTATTGGACACCCTTGGAAAAATTATGTGGTGCCACTGCATATACAAAATAATAGTTTAAAATTATCTGTGATTATATTTATAAAAATGAATTGTATAAAACAATAATAACTGTTTGTAAATTGGGAATGAATTAAACAATTTAAACATTATAAATTGTTATTACCTTCTTTGAGTGTGGATGAACCGACTTTCTACGAATCCAAAAGCAGAATAATAAAAAAACTGCACAAGAGTTAAGTACCAACCAAATGGTTTAAATCCATTAATAGCAAATATAGCTTCCTAAAAATAAAATTAATATATACCTTACAATAATAAGTATGGTGTGGGCAAATTATATTTTGGTCAATATTTCATAAAAATCAATCACAAAAAAATTGTTTTAGAAATTCATAACTTATAATATATTCAAATGACACGAAAAAAAAAAATTGATTAAATTATATCCTTTTTTATTTTATAGTACCTATCATGGTTCAGTGTATTCAAATTGTATGTTAAAATTATTTATTTGATTAGTTATTTCATTGATAAATCTTAAATGTAACACAATTAGTTTTATTTTATTTTAATTAAATTCAAATTATCATTTAATAATTAGTTAATTAACATTTTTTTTAAAACAACTCGTTAATATTTTGTACAATTATTTACTTTTTAAAATAGTACAAATTAACATTTTATATACTTTTCGTTTTATTTAATGTGAGTAATCAATTAAAAATTTAAGCACCTTCCATTCAAATTTAGCAATAAATTATTTAATAAAAATTATATTTTTAAAGAACATATTTTATTAAAATTGAAGTTAATAAAATTCTTAAATTTGTATATTAATTTTAGTCGTGTGTTGTATTTTAGAATAAAATAATTCAAGAAACTTAAAAATTAAATTACATCCATTAAACAACTATTTTATTCAAATTGCTTTTTGACTAACAGTTTTCATTCAATGACTACAGATAATCAACCTTTTATATTTTAAATTTTTTAAAACATCTTATAGTGAACATAAAAATACTATAAAATAAAATAAATAATTTATACAGTTAAAATATATGAACAAAATAATAACTGAAACTAATGCAATTTAATTTAAATACTTTTTAATAGATTTTATAAAACAGTTAAGTTTAAAGCCTTATTTGTCAAAAATAACGTACTAAAATATAAAAAATAAATTTAAAATTACCTGAAGGTATCCATATGGAATAAAAAAAATAAATACAACAAATGAACAAATTAAAAATTGCCATAATTCAGAAAAATTACTAATATCAACCCATAAAAGTTTTCTCGGCGGTTCTTCATTTTTATTAGGCAATAATTCTTTATTATCGGAATCATAAATGACAATTTTAGATTCCATTCAATTATGCTAGTGCAGAAGTTGAAATCTGAAAAATACATAGACACTTAAATATTTTTACACTATAAGTAGTATATAAATAAGTTTAAAGATTACATATTTGTGATTTATAATGTAAATAGAAAATAATAAAAGTACCAAGTCAAATCCAACAGTTACAAACAACTAAATAAGAAACGTAAATTTATAAATGAATAATTTAATTATACCATACTTAAACAATATTACTTTTAATTTTTAAGACATAGAATTTTTAAATATATTTAAAATATGTAAAATTATATTATAATAATAATCTATAATTTAATATGTGTCGGCTAAGAAAATATATAAGCAGTAAAAAAATTTATATTTGTGGCATCGGCATAAACATTTGAGGCAAATCACAATATCTCAGAGTGATAAGACCTAAAAACAAAAGGGCTACCAACTGTTTAGGGTTCAAATTAATACTGGTAGGAATTTAAAACCAAAAAATTTACCAGATCTATGCTTATGTGTTTTATGTATAAATTATGTCCCAATGCCGCCCTGGCTAACATCGTGACTGCTATTGACTGTGAAGAGTGGTGAGGTATGATAGAATTCTTGAAGAGTATGGAACAATTTTACTTGAACAAGGTGAAAAATACAACTCATCTAGTTAAATAAACGATTGTTTTTTAATTCAAATATATAATTTACAGTATTTATTTATTTATTTATTGATTATCTATTTATCTATTTATTAAGGTAAAAGATGAATATTTATTTGAATTAATTTTTTTTTTTTAATTTGTATAGCTATTATAAGTTATAGAAGCTATATTTTAGTCTACGATTTACACACCCCCAGGGCCAAAAAAAAAAGAAATTTTTTTTTATTATTGATGGCGTGTAATCAGTGGCGTACCTGTGACACACTGTTAAAGATATACCTATATAATTAGATATATAAATATATAAATTAGATATATAAATTAATTAATAAATAAATAAAATAATTAATAATTAAATTAAGTTTCTGCACAGTATTTTCTACTGTGCAGAAACAAGATAGTAATATTCATGAACCACAATGACGTGTAACTACAGAAGTACAGACACGTATTGATCAGTATTACAAAATAAAACGTTTTAAATGTGTTTTGTCAAAAATAAATAGTATATTTGAAAACTATTTATATACTGTTATAACGAATTAATACCCATTTATAACACATATACAGCACATAATATTCATAAATAGTAATATCATCGTTTTAATAGACAAAATATGAATTAACCAATGGCAATCAGTGGCGGTTCTGGTAGTATTTTTTCGGTGAGGCAACATAATGTATCATCCCCCCTCCCTCCATACAAAATTAGAATTCACAATAAATGTAATTTAAAAAAACAAAAATAATTATAATTGTATGAATGCTAATAATATACTTGTTTCGTATAGTAAGTGATAGATAGGTAATAAACAGAGCATTTTAAAATTTGGTGGTCCTGAAAAGGACCTTTTGAGTAGGTATACCTAGTCCTGAAAATGACTTTTTAAGTTGGTATGCCTAGTCCTGAAAAGGACTTTTCAAGTAGGTATGCCTAGTTCTGAAAAGGACTTTTCAAGTAGGTATGCCTAGTTCTGAAAAGGACTTTTCAAGTAGGTATGTCTAGTCCTGAAAAGGACTTTTAAGTATGTCTAGTTCTAAAACTATTAATTAACTAAATTAAACTACCACGTCTGTCACTGGATACGTCATAACTCCAACAGTAATTAATTTAATAATGTTTATTACAATAAACATCAGCACTCGCACATATATTTTAACGCAGACGTTAAGACGAAACCACCGAAAACGGAAAAAGTGTAAGACACAAGCGAATATTCGTACAAGACGTCAAGACAGAAATGACTAATGAATAAATAATGATAAATATAAAATTATTATCAATAGATATTACAACGGACAACGGTTTAATTAGGACTGTCCCGAATCTCGATTGTAACAATAACATCTTTACTGATAATGTGTTTTTACGTTGAAATGCCGGCTGACTATATATTCCTGTATACCGAGTCTATTTTTATTTCATAGGCGATGTAAGTCGAGCCTCACAATGATCATTACGCATGCGCAACTCTAGTTATTTTATAGTCGCGTGCATTCGCGTACATACGCTTGTGTGTGTAATTCATGTACACAATAGTACATACTCTGAGGCGGAGATGAACGGTGCCTTCTGACGTCATCGGAACATTGCCGCCGGTTGAAACACCAGCGTTTGTTTACGTAATACTTATATTTTCATTCATTTCTTATCGGTTTATCACTATTTTTGGTAATAAACACTAATGATATGATTTACCATTATTTTACAATATAATAATTAAACTTGGCAAAGAAGATTTTTTCTCAAATAAAATCATAAAAACGTTAAAAATTAATATCGAATATTTATATGCTATCGGTGGGCCAAAATATATACTTTAATAGTATTTTTTACTTAAAATTGTAGGTTAGGCGGCGCCTCACTTGCCTCACCCCCAAAACCGCCACTGATGGCAATATTAAAAATCTATTTTAAGATATATCATGAATAACACCTTGTTCATATTTTATACAATATATTTATAAATTGTACACTTATATTATCATGCTTATCATGCTCATTGCGTTAAATTTACATGTTTGCAATTTTGAATTGTGTCGTTAATACAACATATAACCTTTTTTTGAAAATTGTCTAGTAATTTTGTTATAGGTAACAGCTAAAATGATCATATATTAATTAAAAAATGCTCAGCCATGTTTAATTTATTTCAATATGAATAAATTTTTAAGATATACTTAGTCAATAGTCGTATTGTAAAGATAAATAAAAGAAAAAAAAATCTGTTGTACTTTGCAGGATTCGAAATTGGAACCCCTGGGATCAAAGTCGTATAATATGACTACTGGACCACAAAAATAGCGCACTTTGATGTCTAGCTCCCATATTACTAGATTTCTGGCTCCCTCGGTCGGTTATTGGGAGCTTCCATACATTATCATTGTATGGGCTATCTATGTATATTTAATCAATGGTAATACTACAAGATAAATCATAATTTTTGTTTCTTAATAAAATACCCATTACTTATATAAGATTAAAAATTCTCGGAGGGGGATTGCCCCCATCACCCCCCTTAAATACGCCACTGTTGTCTGAGGTATAGAATTGTCATAAAAAAATATATTTTTTTAAAAGAACAAAATTTACAGGTTTTTTACATTGAAAACCGGTTTTAAAAAACTATAAAATATAAGATCAATATTAATCAGTTTTTAAAACCAAATAATATGGTAGATGAACTATAGTCATTAATTACAAAAAATTATTATGGTTTGAAGTCCTGCTTAAAACAGAACTACACAAAAGTCGATTTTAAGTGGCCGGTATTAGATTAAAAAAAAAAACACAAATATTAAGGATTCATCTGATTTAAATATTACCAAAAATTTTACTTGTACATTTTGATCCTGAATTAAAGAAATAATTTGAGTCCCCCCCCTGTAAGTAAGTCTAAATACGCCCCTGCTTGCGGCCCGTTATTGACCCGGGCTATATGCCTCCCTAGTTTGATGCCTCCTAACCTTGATCCAGCCTGGATCTTTTCTGACCATAAAATATAAAAGTTATCTTTTTGAAATGAAATTCATATATTTTGAAAATTTATCTTCCATTAATAAATATGTTCTTGTTTTCACCAGTAACAAATATAGTAAAGTACCTACTTCAGTGTTTTGGACGTGGTAAGAATTCTTAATATCAAGTTTCAATGACATAATATATAATTTATGTAGCTCGTTATTAGAAACATTTTAAAATTTTAACATATGTGTCTCAAACTAACTTATATGGGTTTAAGACTGAGAATCATAGGACATATATTTTAGTATCTATCACAGATATATAAAACAATTGTTTTTGTTTTATATATCTGTGGTATCTATTTATTATTTGAAGTTCAGATTTCTAAATAATAATAATTATTTTATAATTAATTTATATTATTATTAATATTTAAATTTGAATTAGGAAATTTTTTTGTTACTTAGTGGTTGGTGTTACAGTTGGTGGATTTTATGCTTTTTTTTTAAATTGGCAGTTATAAATTTTAAAATATTAGATTTTTTTCTTATCATTCAGGAGAATTGGGATATCTCTATACTGAATAATTGTTAAATCTTTAGAGGCATGTGTATATAATTTTAATATCAGTATTAAACAATATTTTTATGTTTGTGATTCATCGTTAATGAATAATCATCTTGTTAAAATTATTGTTCGGTAATTAAATAGTATCGTTACAGTTACTATCACGGTATTACAACGTCACTGGATTCGCTTACTAATATCATGTTAAGCTGCTAGAAAAAAATAAACAACCCGATAAGATACTGTTTGAGTGTGTTTCCATCATTTTTTTGCGGCTTTATTAACAATTTACACAAAACAGGAATGGCCCATTTAAATTCGAGTGCCTGTTGGTTATATTATTTTATTTAACTGTACATATAATATTTTATAATATATAACTGATTTTATTTTGTAATACATTCGTTTTGCTGTAAGTATTAAACATTTGATATTTTTGTTTATATTTTATATAATAAATTGACACTGTTATTCTTTCTTAGAGTATTTGTATTATTATTTAACTGTCTCTAGTCATTAGGAAAGTTTTAATTTACATAGTTTATTAACATTTGGATTTATGTATTATATATGTTAGGTGTACATCATGGCTGTAAGTACTTATCGCGAAGAATTAAAGGTACTGATTGTTATAATTTTAATTGTTAGCCAATTTATATTTATCTAAATTATTTACAAAAATTGTATTTATTGTTTAGAAAATTCTGAAAGAACCAAACTCTACAACAATTGCTTCTATTAAAAAAACTGTACAAGAAAATAATTACTTCAATCTTAGGTAAAGTAAAAGTTATATATAAAATTATATTAATACATTTTTAATAGTAGTAATTATTGTAATCAACTGTTTTAAATTGTCTATCAAATAAAATATGTTGGTGTATATTATAATAAATATTAATGTTATGATGTATATACATACATATTAATAATTTTTATAGTTATAAATTCTTACAAAATTTAAGTTTTTATAATAAATTAGTTAAATAATAACATAAGTTTTCCCAATTGGGTTTGTTTTCTATATTCTAAACAATATAATTATACTTTGAACAAAATTATTTAAAATAGATCATTTTTAGCAAAATCAAAAGTTTAATTTTTGTTTATTATATTTACATTTGATTTTATATTTACTCAGTGATGCAGATAGACGTTCAATTTTGGATCAAGTATTAAGATGCTATGTTTTAGACATAGTACTATCAAAACCACCAAACATATATGATGTTTGTAAGATGTGGACATCATTTACTATTGAACTTGTACGTAATGAAATGTGCACGGCTATAATGCCAGTAGTTATACTGTCAGATATGTTTGATGTGACAACTGTGGATTTATGTGAAAAAATGTTTGATCATGTGGAAACTAATGTAAATGTTCTTAAGGAGTCCCAATTTTTTATGGCATGCAAGAATAATTTATTAAGAATGTGCAATGGTAAAATATTAATTTGATTATTTTATTTTGTATTATTATTAATATTAATAATAGTATTTTGTTTTAGATTTATTACGTCGTTTATCAAGATCACGAAATACAGTGTTTTGTGGGCGTATTTTATTATTTTTAGCAAAGTTTTTCCCTTTTTCTGAACGGTCAGGTAAGTGAATTACTATTAATGTTGAAATTAATATAAAGTAATAAATTGTTAAGATAATTTATTATATTTTCTTTGGTAATATTTAGGTTTAAATATTGTTAGTGAATTTAATCTGGAAAATGTTACTGAATATTTGAATGAAAATAATTTTGATCAAAATGAAGATTTGCAAGACTCAATGACTGAAGAAGAAACAAAATCTGATACTATAATTGAAAAGTATGAATATAATTTTAATTTATACCTACTTTTTTATTCTTTATAAAAAAGTTAATTTATAAACCCAGCAAGCACAACTATTTCATACTTGATGTATACATTTATATTTTTGATTGTTTTTATTATAGTTTAAAAATATTACTTAAATTTGTATTTTTAATTAAAATTATTTTACAGAGTGAATGTTGACAAAAACCTTTATTTAAAATTTTGGGCCCTACAAGATTATTTTAGGAATCCTAATCAATGTTACAAAGCAGAACATTGGAAATTGTTTATCTCTGTAAGTTTTAAGATCAATTATTTTCATTTAATTATTTTAATTTGTTTTCTATTACTTATTTTTTAGCATACAGAGTTCATATTTTCAATTTTTCAAAGTCATAAGTTAGAACATGTTAGTAGAACAGATACTGAAAGTACTGAACAAAATATACATTACTTTCCAAAATATTTAACTAATCATAAGTTATTAGAATTACAATTGAGTGATGTAAATTTTAGACGCTATATTCTAATACAATTTTTATTGCTTTTTCAATATTTGGATGCACCTGTTAAGTTTAAACCGTGAGTATAAAAAGTTAATATATACATAAATTTAAAACTATTCTTAATCATAAATAATACTTTGAACTTTAGTGATAATTTCAAGATAAAACCAGATCAACAAGAATGGATTAAAAATTCAATTAATAATATATATGAATTAATAAATAATACACCTCCTGATGGTATAAGGTTTTCTGAAGTAGTAAAAAATATATTACAGGTATATTTTTAATCACCTAATATTTGTAATTTTTGTCAACATTCATAGCAACAAAAATGTATGTATAACACACCCAATTTATAGAGAGAAGAACAATGGAACAAATGGAAAAATGATGGTTGTCCAGAAGTTGTAAAACGATTAATACCTGCTAGTGATCAAGGTGACATGCCTGCACCTAAAAGGAGACTTAGGAAAAATTTAGGAGATGTTATTAAAAATATGACTGCTAATAACAAGGTTTTTCTTGGAGAGTAAGTCTTGAATTTATTATAATTTAATTAACAAGAATTATGATTTTAATCTATCATTAATATTGCTATTTACTTTATCATAAAATATTTTTAAATTAAATTAATTTTTTAGCCCAGAATTGACTAAGTTGTGGAATTTTAAGCCTGATAATTTAGAAGCATGTAAAGGACCCGAAAGAGATTTTTTGCCGTCATTTGACTCATTCTTCCAGGAAGCATTTGAACAGTTAGATCCAGAATTATGTATTGAAAATCAATACAAGTAACTTATTTTTACAATATTAAAAATAATAATTTCACATGTTATGCTTTTTAGTTTTATACATTTAATTTGTTATTTATATTAAATTTAAATTTTAACTATAGAAAAGTTAATGATGGAAATTTTGGATGGCGTGCTTTAAGACTTTTAGCTCGAAAAAGTCCACATTTTTTTGCTCAAAGCAACAATCCTATTCATAAATTGTCTGAATATTTAGAAAATATGATAAAAAAAACAATGAATAAAGAAAAAATAGTAAGTGTAATATTGAAAATTAAAAATTCAATTAAATCAATAACATTTTTATATTTTAATTATGAATTTAAAATTATCTCGTATTTTAACTTACTTAATAGTGAATAAATAAATTTATAATTATAATTAATGATAATTTATGCTATTTTCAGTCAATTAATCAAGGTTCAGATAAACATGTATCACCAAATAAAGAATTCAAAAAGGAATCTGTAATGGATACAGAAGAAGTTGATATTTCTGAAGGAATCCATGATGAAAACGAAAACGAGAATAATGTTGAAGTAGAAGACAATAATAAAATTCCCAAACAAATTATTGACCAAGTTGCAGCTGTCATAGGAGAAAAATGGACTTTGCTTGCTGAAAAACTTGGCTACCAACCAGATGAGGTTAGATAGCATATTTTTTTAAAACTATTTAAGTAGTTTCCTTGAGAGATTGTATTTGAATTTTACATTTTTAATATTAAACATGTTTTAGACAATAACTAAAAATAATTTTAATAACATTTTTGAAGTTCAACAAATTTTTTGTCAGTGCTCAGATATGAAATTTAGGGGAAGGGGCAGCAAATTTATTTGTATAACATAGACGACCAAATAAGTCAGAGTGGGCCTGGTATTGAGCTTGTAGTTGTGACTATTTATCTATTAAAAGGAATATATAAGGAATGAATTGGTCATCTAATAATTTTAAATATAATTATTAGCAATAATATATAGTATTTTTATTAATTAAATTATTTATTCCATGTACAATTTTTATAGATTAAGTTTGTGAAAACAATAAAAACTACACCTTTAGATCAAGCTACATATTTACTTGAAGTTTGGGTTGAAGATGCTGAAAATCCTAAGCCTGAAAACCTAATTTACATTTTAGAAGAAATTCAATTAAATGAAGCTGCTAATATTCTTAAGTCATGATTTAAATATATGCACAATTAAAATGCATTGGAAATATCTTTGTAAATAAAATATTTAATCCACTAATTTTGAATTTAATTTATGTAATAATTTAAAACAATTTGTATTTTTTCCATAAAAAAAAAATTATTTTTTAAATTAATATAGCAATTTTATGTTTTAATTATTATTCTGTAATATAATATATTAATTTTATTTATTTGTATTTTTTTATGGGAGAAGCTTAAAATACAACATTTACAAATTTAAAATTCAGGTTAAGAATCTTGTAGGTACCTAGTTGAATAATTGAATAATTATTATTTTTTACAGGTCAGTAGGCACTCACAAATTTTTGAATTATTAGGGCTTACATATTTTCTTGTTCACCATCCCACTACCTAATAATGATATATTCACCAATAAATAAATGATTATAATATTTTTAAATATTATATATATATATATATGTAATGTATTGATCTACTCCTAACCACCTATAGTATCATTCATCATTAATCAAGTACTCATTAGATTTAATAAGTTATTATATCTTGGGTATTCGTATTTGTACGTCATACGATTCATAGGGATTAGTGACGGTGCTAAAGTTTGTGAGACCCTGAGCAAAATAAATGTTGGGTCTTATAATTTATATTATTAAATTATTTTAAGTTCAGTTAAATCAGAACTGCCGGGCCTTAATTATAATTTAAGGCGTGGGGCACTGGGCAACTACCCCTATTGCCCATCTCCTCGCGCTGTCCCTGATAGGGATGGTAATGATACATTGAAAATATCTATACATAAAGTGCACATATCGAAACATTTTATATCAATACAACCTTTACCTATATATTAACTTGATATTATCTATATGTAGGTACTGTATATTGTATATGATCTAAGCTTGTACCCTATTGTATGACATTTCCGATATAAAACGATATATCGTGGTATTGATATTGGGTATGCGTTATATATGCCCTGAGACATATAGAAGAATTACAGAATATATTATTAGAGGGTATGATAGAAGGATAGAAAACTGTAGGACATCCCCGGAACTCTTATGTAGAACAAATTAAAAGCGATGCAAAAGTCAAAACCTTTAAAAAACTTAAAGAAAAGGCGAGTAGTCGAAGTTTGAATGGAGAATTGGAGTTGTAAACCAACCTTCGGGTTGATAAGACAAAAAAAAAATGTGTTGTATCGAAATTTCGATATATCAATAGTCAATGATTTTTTGCCATCCCTACATACGAGTACAATAAAATTCAATAATCAACGTTCAAGACCCCATGCCGCCCCCCTACCCTTAAAATTAGTGTGTGAGCGATATTGGATAAGGTGATTGAGATGTTTGTAAACTATATTAGTGGTTATAAATCTGTGAAACTGCATCCCGATTAACCGTTCGCTTGCATATAATGACAAAGAATAAGGGCCTAAAACCAATTGACGACGAATGTTACAAAACACAGTACAAACATTTCATCTAAAGGACGTCTCTATTTCTTTTAAAAATCAACATTTATTTGGATAATAGTAAAAATTAAAAATATTAGCAATTCTAAGGTATGTATACAAATTAATGAATATTACTTTACTTTTAATCTACGGTAAAAATATAAGCAGAGATCAGTGTTCACGGATTCGTTTCCATTGCTGCTTCATCTTTTCCTCCATTGAATTCTTGTTATAAAACTGCGATAAAAAAAATTTGAAACAATGATAAGAGTATTATACCGAAATAAAGAAATTATGAACCGTTTAAAATTTACTTTATAGGTACCCATACCCGTAATACATCAGGCTCACGAAGTGTACGCTTTTTTAACCGGTGTTGTGTAATTTAGCTTTCGACATTTTTAATCTATACACTTAACAGCGGCTATAAGTAATAGAATTATAATTTATCAAAGTTATTTATTAATGTTGTAATTTGTAGACAAAAAATGGAAAAGTTTTTTGCCTACCAAAAAGACAGTAGACTACCGTGCAAGTATGGTAAAGCGTGCTTCCAAAAAAATAAAGAGCATTTAGACAAATATAAACACCCACCGACTAAAGTAAGATTTTATTTGGCAAATACGTATAAAATTTATTATATTGTATATTAATATTTGTGTTTTTAGGAAGATCTTCGTATAAATAATAAGAAAAAAACAGGAAAAAAAGATGTTAAAAAACGATTAAGATTAAACAGTTCACATAGTCAATTAGGAGAGTCTTCTAATGTAAATTCTAGAAATAATTCATTTGGAAACAATCATGCAGATTATGGTACGTAGTATTTCATAATATTTTTTATTCAATAATTTTTGGGTAAATTAGAATTTAATCCTTGTTTTCCTATAGAACTCAAATTTTATTAGAATAATTACAAGATAATATTTCTAATTAAAAAAAAATATTGCATTATATTATTATTATTATTATATTATATTTAATAATTATAATACTATGTAATATGATGTGGTAGTTAATAAGTGAGAAAAACATAAGCCAACAACAATACAATATAATAAATATTATTATAAATTTTAAGAAAAACACATGATTAAAATTGGTATTCTCTGGTGCTGATATCTATTAAGCATTTCATCGAATCATTATTTACTCTTTCAGACCACAACCTCTTAAAATGTTATCCCTTAGTATTATGATTATATTTTATATTGTTTTAAATTACTTGTTGTGTATTTTAAATTTTTTTATATAATCTAAATGTACTTATTTTGCATTACACTATATTATTCACTATTGCATTATTTGAAAAATTTTTAACTTAAAGGAAAATGTTGAAATTTGTTATTTAGGAATTTGGCTCAACTAAAGTATGTCATTAATATTAAAATGTTCTTTAAGTTTTATTGAAAATATTTATACATTTTTCTGAATTGTATATATACAGGGCCGGATTGGCCCGGCGAGTTTTCGAGTAAAACTCGGTGGGGCGCGACAATTTTGGCCTTTTAAGTTGTGAAAGACCGCTAACAAAAAATATTAATAGTTTAAAGTTGAAGATTAGTGCACCTATTGAAATATGCGATTAAAAAAATTTGGACAAGGGCCGCCAGTTAGTAAGTGGGCCGGTAACATACAGAAAACTCAGTGGGCCGAATTTGTCCTATCCGGCTTTGTATATATATATTGAAAAAAAGAAAACAAATCTTAATTATTTTTATAAAGTAGTGTTACTAAAATTGATTATTTTATTTGCATTGAGCAAAAAATATTTAACAAAATGATTAATAATATTATTTTTCTTAGAAATGAATGACATGGAAGTTCCTGAACAATCTAATGTACCTCATGTGAGTGAAACAAGAAATAATATTTCTTCAGATAACATGAATAACTCACAACATTCTACTGATTATATTGTGCCATCAATAAGGCAGAATACTCAAGAAGAAGAACATAGACAACAACCACAATTGTTATTGGTAAAAAAAATAAATTACTGTTCCATACTGATTATAAGGAAACAGGTTTTATAGCACTAAAATATATTGTAATGTATTTATATAAATATATATATATGCCCTGAAAATATGAAAAAAATAATAATAAAAACTAAATTTAATTTAAAAAAATGTTATTAAATAATTATTTATAAATTAGTAAATATATGAAAAATGTAATATAAGTAAAGAAAAAAAACAATATGAAAAAAACAAAAAATGTAATTTAATGCATATATGTATAAAATGATACTAGAACTAGTAAATAGCATTTTACAAATTAAATTTTAAAAATATTTTAGAATAAATAATTTGAAATTTGAAATGTCTATGTGTGTATATATGTAATGTGTATGTCTATGTAACAAAAATATATCCTATTCTACTATTTTTATCAGTATTCTAAAATAATTAGCAATTCTAGAGAATCCGAGTCCTGTTAATAATATTTCATTTTATAAATAAAATTTTATACAAAATAAAATTTTAATCTCTTGATCAAGTAATTTAAATTTTAAACCTATATATAAAACTATAAGAATTTGTAAAAAGTGGTTAAAACAATGCTATCCAGTTAATTCAGAGGAATATTGCTGTATTTAGGCAATAGCTCTCAAGCCTAGTCCTTTGTCCAGCAGGCTAAAGTTGTTCTATTTTTTTTATATATTTTAAATTTGAAAGTTTAATTCTTATTAGACTATTTTATTTTTAAAAAAGCAATACATTTTAGTTTATAAATAAATATGTACAGGTATTAGAATTTTTATGACAATTATTTTCCAGACTAGTACTGCATTAGATGATTGCAGTGGTGATGATGGTATTGTTCCATGTACTCCAACATTGTTTACACCTCGGCGTTTAGATGGAGAAACTGTTAGTTCACCTCATGTGCCATCTAGTAGTCAAGTAGAAAGGTTTACATTTGTTGGTGAATCTCAAACATCTCAAGTTTCTGGTAATTTAAAAATGAATTGTTTGTTTATGTTCTTTTTCGTGTGAAGACAGTGATTTCTTCTCTTAGGGCTGTGGTTTAGTCTAGTAAGTAAAATTGCTATTAGCTTGGTTTGAACCAATAACCATTTGTTAAAACACAGCCACCTTATATATTCAACCACAACACCCCATTATTTTTAAAATCAGAAATAGGTGCAACCGATTTTACCCACAAATTGTTATTATTTACAATTCATACTATAAGAAATCTTGTATTAATTTTGGAAATCAGCTTTTACAATAATATTTTTTCATAAAATAGCAAGAGTTATTAGCTATGTGCCTAGCTTGCTGTAATACTAGAAAAGTAAAAAAAAATTACCATTAATGCTCATTAGTATGTTATATTTTTGTTCAATACTATTTTACTTTATTTGAAATAAATAAAATTATAGTTTAATTATAAATTTTATAAAATTAATTTAAGCTTATGAATAATTGAATTACAATCAAGTAAGTAAAATAAAAATTTGTTCTTATATACCAAGCATTTCCTCAATATTTCTTGAAGTATTTTGATTTACAGCAACTTTTTTTTTTTTTAAGAATTGATTTATATTTTTTTATGTAAAGATCAATTTATAATTTATTTTTTTTCCGATTGTATTAGATTCAAATGATGGAGAACAGCAGAGTCTAGTTCAACAAATTGTGAGACCACAAAATGAAAATAATCCTACTTATTGGAACAAAAAAATTACTGAATTATTCCTAGTGGGAAATATGCCAAAAGAATTTTACGAATTTTGGAATTTTTGTTCAAAAAAATGTCCTGTTCACCCAGAAGGTTTTATTTTTTATTTTTTTAATCTTCAGGTTTTGTTCAATATTAACAATAAATATAAATATATATATATATATATTTATGTATATATTAGATGCATTATTACCAATTGGATTTAAATTGGTTGGACCTTATGATGTATTAGCTGGTCGTATGAATGAATATGATGAAAAAGATATTGAAAATACTGTCTTGCATTGGCGTTATTACTATGACCCTCCAGAGTTTCAAGTTTGTGAATTTTATTTGAATACTTATTTATTTGCCTGTTAATAATAATTAATAAGCAGTGTCTTTTGAATACAATAGATGATATATCTGACTTTAAGTAAAGAATAGAAAGTACATATTAATAGGAATAATAACAATAATAACTTTTCATTTTATTTTTTATTAGTTGCCTCTTAATTGTTGGTACAATAACTAGTGATTATAATTAAAATCCTGACATTTAAAATTTAATTCCAAATTCATTTATTGTTTATTTTTTTTAAAGATAAAAAAAAAGATTCAGTATTAAATACAATATCTTCTCCTCCACCTTTCTTTTTCACCTTTCGTAATTTTAGTCATAAAACAGCTGCTTTTATAACACCCTCATTGCTCTGCCACTGATGAAATGTTTCATAGTTTCTTGTTTTTATAACTCTTGATATATACAAGTTCACAAACCTGTATAATAAATATAAATATTTTTTTTAGACTATAATAGCAAGCACTGATTCTGAATTCCATATTGGATATTATAGAGATCAGCCATTTGATATGCCAATTTTTGTTGCTAGTAATGATTCAGGAAAAAATTGCATTATTCAGAAATTAAGTAATAATATATTTTATGCTATTAGGTAAATCTACTATAGTTTTTATAATCAATCAATACAACTATATTCCATATAATTTATTACTAAACATCTTTTACTTTTTTAGAAAACTTGTTCAAAACATGGTTAGTGATGTGGCAACTGAGTTTGAAAGGTTATTATTTAATTATGAACATCGAAATATAAAAAAAAATTTGAATAATCGTAAAGGTTGTGTAGTTGCAAAAACATTTCATAAAGCTGGTATTGTTGTTCCATATGATATTAAAACTGATGTTGGTTATCGACCTTTAGCGGAAACTGAAAGTATGTTGCAAGAATTCTATACTCATATTTTTATTATTTATCAAAATAAGATCAATTCCATTTACATAAAATATTATTTTTTTTAGAAACCTTACGTACTATCTTGCAAAATTATCGTGAATCTAGCGAAAGTAAAAAAATTGAGGCTATGGATAAATTACAACCAATCATAAATTATGCAAATATAGCAAGTGATGAATGTGATTTTGGTACGGGGTTTGAATTGGGTATTGATATTTTTTGTGATGGAAATCCTGAACTTCATCGTATTTGTGAACAACTTTTAGTAACTGCTTACAACTTGCTTAAAAGACCTCAATTTGGAACTATAATCAAGGTAACTATAACTAATTAATTAATCTTTGTTTTATATTATTAAAAACAATTATTTAATAGCTAATAGTTTTTTTAGAGTTTGATTTGCGTTTTATCTTGGGTAAATATTTATTAAAACAAGTGCTAATATTTTAAGATGCCTACATTAAAATATAACAAGATATATTCGGAAACCTTATCCAACTATTCATTATGAACTATAATATACCAGTTAAAAAACTAGTAAAATTCTTGTATTTTTAAAATAAATTTATTATTTTCATTGTGAAAAAAAAGTATATATATTTATATGTTACCGGCAATATGGATAATTCAAGTATTTTGCAAAATACCTAGACATTATGCAAATTTCCGACCCATTTTAGGTAATTTAAATAAAACATGATTTTCAATATTATTTTACATATAACCTAGCTATTTTTTAAAATACCTAGGCATTATGCAAAATGCCAATTTATTTTTAGGCAAAGTACAAAATATTTTATTATATAAGTATGTTATATTACATTATGATTCTTATAATTATTATACATTATTACTCATATTACAGACAAAATATAATTTTTATCTATTATTATATTATTACTATAACATAAATATTTTACTGAAACTACTATTTACTTATCATAACATGTTGTAGAAACGTGACTTTTTATTTGGACACCTGGACTTCTTACAAACACATTTTAAAAATCCTTAGTTAATTCTTGTAGATTGGATTTTTATCAACTCATACTGTTCATTAGATAAAAAACTAGTATAAGTGGCCAAAGTTTTAAAAAAAATTTTGTAGTTTGTTATAAAAATTTAATTTCATATAAATATTATGCATAGTTGCAACATTAAAACGAGGCACGAAAATGAAGAGAAAAATTATGATATTGTAATAAACTTATTAGTATGTTCAATATTGTATTTTGGAATTATTATTGTTGTAGTAAAAATTAATCTTTATCGTGTTAAATCGTTGACACATATTTATGATAAAAGGCTAGTAAAGTTGTTGGTAATAGGCAATGCCAATTTTGTTTATTTTCTTCATATTGCCTACTCCATGATTGGCGTTATACATAATACCTTGGAAAAGCTTGTATTATGTATATTGTCGAGTGATTTTTGGTATTTTATATAATGCTTAGGCATTTTGCAACATACCCATATTGCCAGTAACATATATAAATTAAAAATTAGTATAACTTAGTATATATATACACTAATATATAACTTATATAATAGCTATTACTAATCATTTTATTAGATTTTATTATACAATATAACCATAAGTTGTAATAAATGACAACATTACTTTAAATAATTATTTTGATAATGATTTTCAAACCATTACTAAAGTTAAAATTATTAAAAATATTATGTTTTTAACTGTATAAACTATCCTTACAATTTGTTGTTCATAAAACATATAATTACAATATTTGTTACACATTTTATCGATATAAGAATTAAAGTAATATTAATTATACTTTATCTTACTGTAGTTAATCCCTATCTATCTATATAATTTATTACACAAATTATTTTATTATCTTGTTTATTCTATATAATAATTGTTGAGTAATCATAGTCTACACTGGAAGTTATATGTATATAAAAAACTCATTATGGTAAAATTGTGAATATTATATAAATTTTCAGGCTCATCTTGCAAACAGAAGAAGTGGTCAAAATATGAGTATATTATAAATCCTATTTTATTGAAAAATATTTATATAATTTTATTTTTTTATTTAAATTCTATAAGAAACTTTATTATATAACAATCTATATTAATAAATAAATTTAAGTTTTTTTATTTTATTTATAATCAAATTACAATAATTTTAAAATTAAATTATAATTTGTTTTTGAATTATGAAGATTTTGTAAACATATTGAATTGTAATTATTAATCATAAAATACAAAAAAGATTTATGATTCAAAATTATTCTAGGTCAAGTGTTTTGAAAGTCAAGTGTCAAGTAGAAATCTTTTACTTTTTTAATTTTAGATTTGTTTATAACATAAGTCATTTATGAGAAAGAATTTTAAAACATTTGATTTCCATGGCACTAGAATTTTGAAAACTTGACATGGTTTCATTCAAAATATATGTTGTATAAATTGAGTTTGTTTAATTTTTTATTGGCTAAACTTATTTGATTCAAATCAATACTACACGAATCTTCACAATATTTTAGAACTGTTGTGATAGGCAACCACTAAAACTGTTAATTTTAATTTTAAACAAACATTTAACATACATCAAATATTATACTATTCCTGATGAACTTCAAATAGAAATAAGAAATTTACAGTCACAAAATTTTATAAAAACCTTCCTAAGCACTTATTTTACCTTTTTTTTCTGAACTTCCTTAATGAATTTTTATTCACTATTAGAATGAGCATAAGTAATTTTGATATGGGAATTGAAAATTGTGAGCAATATTCAATAAATCACATTAACCCTATTTTTAACAAACAGTTGTAATTTCTATACTTTTATATACATAATATAATTTTGAGAATTATTTTTATAAACTGAATTTTTACATATATTATGAATTCATTAAAATAATGAATTTTAGTATATTATATTTTTTGGTATTTTAATATGATATAAGATTATGTTAATAAAAATAAAAGTATATACTACATAGAGTGGTTTAGCCGTATCCACATGTATTGCCTCCATTTTATAATCGTACATTATAGCAAATTTATGTTTACTATTACATATGTTGTGTTATTAGTTTTAATATTAGAGTAAATTTAACTAATATCAAACATTAAATGCATTAAGCTCGGAACACATTTTTGAGTGTTACTTCCTCAACAATAATCTGTGATGGAATATTTTTACCTTTGCATTTTTTTTAAAGAGCTAAAAAATCAAATACCTTTTTTATTTCGGTTATTTAGGATGATTTAATCACAGTAAATGGTTTTCTATCCAACCCCTTTCCTGTTCTCTCCGGTGTACCAAATTAATGAAGCTCCAAAAATCAGGAATGTCTATTTGAGACCACTATAATAGGTACATAAAAAAATGATGTAATAATATTTCATAAAATCCATCAATATGGTCAGTCGATTATTAATTTTCTTTTAACATAACAAAACTATCAATTTTACGTTAAGAAGAACACAGTTTAAAATTTAATTTTTTTTTTAAAGCTCAGATTTTTAATTATATTAATATAATTATTATAGATTGTATAATACTGTATAATGATGGACTTTTGGTCAAAGAAAAATATATAATTAAAAATATCTCATTTTTGCTTTTATCCCCTTTACAATTAATATTCATACTTATTTTTTTCATTTTATACTTCAGTTGTTTTGTGGTGGTATAATATTGAAAAGTTTAGTTCAAAGGGCAGACAAAATTTTTGTAGGAATAAATCATTTTTCTAAAAATATTTATAAACAAAGGTACCATAAGGGTAAGTAGTGTTATATGAAGATAATTTTTTTAATATTTTGATAAAGATAATAAATAATTGGTAGAATACCTTGTTATCTAGATGAAGATAAAATATACATAGTAATTTAATTATCTAGATAAAGATAAAAACAGTATTTATTATTTTAATAAAAAAATAATATTTTTTTTAGGTAGATATCTATCACAAACTGTGTTTCAATTGTACCAGATAATATGTAATACATCTACATTTCAAAATAATTGAATCGCTTATTACAGAAACCCTGTAAGAGACAAAAATTTCGAAACATATTATTTTCCACTTGTTTGTATTTTTTGTATTACATGACATTACTTAGGTGTTTCTGCTCCAAACAAAAATTTCAAAGACGCGAATTGGCCACGTAAATAAGATGGGGCTTCTGCAAAAATCGATGTGTCTACTAAAAAGATATAAGCAAGTGGAAAATAATATGTTTCGAAATTTTTGTCTCTTACGGGGTTTCTGTAATAAGCGATTCAATTGTGATTTATGTAATTTTTTTGAGTCATATAAATGTTATTTATAAAAAAACATTTTGACAGTAAATTATGGTTTATAACATCATAAAATATAAATATTATATTTTGATAATGTATTAATGTTTCATTGAACAAAATTACAATGAATTTAATTAAATAGATAAATTAAATTTATCTTTTTTTAATAGTCATATATTATTATGTTTTTGACTTGTTTAGAAGAAATAATAATGTTAGATAAAGCTAATCATGATAATATAATGACCATCTTATTAGGTGATACTAATATAAATATTGCTGGAAATAATAATGTTGATAATAATTACCTAGACTTGTTATCTTTAAATGGTTTTAGTTCTCTTATAAATATATTTACGAGAGTACCAGGTAATAGTATTAGCTCTTGTATCGACCATATATTTATTAAATTCAATGATAATAATAATATTAATAATAATAACAATGATTGCAGTGATAATATTAAAGCTGGAGTAATCCAAACAGATTTTTCTGATCATTATACCACTATTATTTCTATTCCATCTATAATTAATCGAGATCAACAAAATTTAGCTACATTTGAGAAAATAAATTATAAAAAAATTAAGGATACACTAAATGTTGAAAACTGGTCTGACTTATATAATACCTGTGACGTAAACGAGGCACTAGATATTTTATATGATCGTATTTCTAAATCAATCAATAGTTCTAAGAGTATTAAAATCATAAATTCTAAATCGAAACGTTTAAAAAATTGGATGACTACAGGAATATTATGCTCAGTTAGAAAAAAACAATACTTATCTTTAAAAACAAAAAAACATCCTAACAATAATACTTTAAGTAACTATTACAAGAAGTATAAAAATAAGCTAAATCAGATTATTAAGATTGCTAAAACTAATTATTATAAAGATCTCTTTCAAAATGTTTCCGGTGATCCCAAAAACACTTGGAAACTAATAAAAAAATTAACCAACAAATCAAATAATAACAATGAAATAATAAAGCGTTTAAACTTTGCTGGTGAATGCATTGATGCACAGAAAGAACCAGAAAATGTATCTAATAAATTAAATACGTATTTTTCAAATATTGGCCAAAATTTAGCTGAAAATATAAAAGAAACTTCTGACCAAGATAACAATGATACATATACAAACTTAGATTTTGATAAATTTTTCTTAAACAAAATAGAATCGTCTGAAGTTATGAATATAATAAATAATTTTAAAGAGGATAA